GGGGTCTCCTGGTTCCTCCTGGTCACCGTTGTCCCTTCCATCTTCCCTTCCCTTTGGGGCTGAGTTGGACCAGGAGCTCTTTGTCCTCCTCCTGTCGTGAGGGGCCCAAAACTGGACCCAGGCCTCCAGGTGGGGCCTCACCAGTGCCCAGTCCAGGGGGACGGTCACTGCCCCAGTCCTGCTGGCCACACTACAGCTGATACTGGCCAGGATCCTTGGAGGAGCTCACCCCTGAACATCAAGCAGTTGCCTTTGAAGACCTGCGCAGGAGAACTTGGCCAAGAGTGACTTCACCCCCTCAAACGGGTTTGCTGTGAGAAGAGACCAGAGCAAACCGGGGGTTTGAGCCAGTGCCACCTTCTGCTGCCTTCTGTCCCCCACCCACCCACGAGCTGGAAGAGAAAGAAAACCCAAGGAAACCCATTTTGGAAACACCCTTCCCTCCAGGACCTTATCCCAAAGGATTCTTCCAAGCACAGCTTTGAAGAACTCAAATTGCTCTCCTGACCTTGCTTGTCACCCCCCTTCTCCTCAGCATCCCAAGCTCCACCATCCCATGGTCACCGCAGCCCAGGGGGACCTTCACATCCCGTCCATGGTGTAGACGAGCACCCGCGGTGGACAAGTATCTCCACCTTAATTGAGTTGTGAGTGTAGACCCCCCCCCAGAGAACTCACAACACCCCCAGCACATGGAGGTCTCTGCTGGTTGTGTTCCCAAAGCACATCCTGGAATCGTTTTTAGTAATTAGCGTTGAAAGGCCTTATGGATATTCCCATGGAGAACGAGGGCTCCATCCTTGGATCTATCAAGCGTGAGCTCATGAAAATCACCTCTAATGGAGAGGTACAAGTGTTGGATCGTTCTCAAGGTGGCACATCCAGCAGGAGGACCTGGAGGAAGGTACTAATCTGCCCATTTGGAGAAGCTCAGCCAATTTGGCAGGAGAGAGACAATTCTTAAGTGTCTGAAGATCAACCACCTTCAAATTCAACCAGGGCGAGTGCAGGGTGCTGCACCTGGGGAGGAATAACCCCCTGCACCAGGACAGGTTGGGGGTGACCTGCTGGAGAGCAGCTCTGAGGAGAAAGACCTGGGAGTCCTGGTGGACAACAGGATGACCATGAGCCAGCAATGGGCCCTGGTGGCCAAGAAGGGCAATGGCATCCTGGGGGGCATCAGGAAGAGTGTGAGCAGCAGGTGGAGGGAGGTCATCCTGCCCCTCTGCTCTGCCCTGGGGAGGCCCCATCTGGAGCACTGGGACCAGTTCTGGGCTCCCCAGTTCAAGATGAACAGGGAACTCCTGGAGAGAGTACAGCAGAGGACCGCAAAGATGATGAGGGACCTGGAGCATCTCTCTGATGAGGAGAGGCTGAGGGACTGGAGAAGGGGAGACCTGATCAACACCTATAAATACTTAAAAGGTGGGTGTCAAGAGGATGGGGCCGGTCTTTTTTCAGTGGTGCCCAGTGACAGGACAAGAGGAAACAGGCACAAACTTGAATATTAGAAGTTCCACCTCCTCCATGAGGAGGAACTTCTTTCCTGTGAGGGTGACAGAGCCCTGGAAGATGCTGCCCAGTGAGGCGGTGGAGTCTCCTTCTCTGGAGACATTCAAAACCCCCCTGGACACGTTCCTGTGGGACCTGCTCTGGGTGGACCTGCTCTGGCAGGGGGTTGGAGGAGATGATCTCCAGAGGTCCCTTCCAACCCCATGTGAGTCTGTGATTTCCCTGCCAGGATGGAGAGCTGGGGCTCCAGCAGCTCCTGGGAGTTGGGTTTTCTGCCTTGGCTGGTGGAGCCCAGGGTGCAGGGCTCGGCTGGAGGAGTTGGGCTGGAGGGAAATGGGAAGGTCTCTTTGTGGCTGATGTGGTGTTTCCTGGGGATGGTCCATTTGTCCCTATGTGTGTGTGTCCCTCCCAGAGCCCTGTCGCAACTGTGGTTTTGGGTCTCTGTGGTGTCCTTGTGGGGTGGTGTTGGTGCAGAGAGCCTGCCTTGAGGCACCAAAGCTTGGCCACTTGCTGCTCCTCTGCCAGGCTTTTTTGTGGGAGACGTGGGGTCATTTGGCATCAGGGCTCTCTGGATTCTGCAGATGTTGGGATGGGTTTGGTGGCGTGAGGAGCACATGCCCAGCCCCATAGCCCCCTGAGCACCCTGTGATGTGTCTGGCATGGGGTTGGGTCATGGCTTTTGAGCTGGGTCCATCCCTAACTCAGGGCAACCCCGGGCTCTTCCCCCAGCCTTGGGCTCTGTCCCTCTCCTCTCTCTGGAGGCTTACGAGGATGGAGGCATCCGGGTGGTGTGTCGATCGGCCGGCTGGTACCCGTCACCACAGGTGCTGTGGAGGGATGGCGAGGGGCAGCATCCCCCCTCTGTCTCCCTGAGACGTTCCCGCGATGAGAGGGGCCTCTTTGAGATCCAAGATGTCATCGTTGTGAGCGGGAAGGGAGAGGGGAACGTGTCGTGCGTGGTGAGGAACAGCCGCCTGGAGCAGGAGCAGGCGTCGTCCCTGCACATCTCAGGTACAGGATGGCAGCAGGGCTGGGGTTGGCCACGCTGCTTGGGGGGGTTTTGTTCTCTGGAGGCAGGATAAACATGCCGGGAGTGCAGGAAGGAAAGGGGGGTGTAAAAGGAGGCGTTTTCTCAATGTTTTTTTGTTTCTCAGCTCCCTTTTTCCACAATGCTCGTCCCTGGATGGCAGCTCTGGGTGTCTTCCTCCTGCTTTCCGTGGTGTCAGCTGTCCTCAGTGCTTACTTCTTCCGAAGGAAAGGTGAGTTTGCATCACCACGATGTTTTGCCTTCATTATGGAAGCTCTTTGTGCAAAGGGAGGATGGGGAGAAGGACATGGGCTGTGGATGGGAGGAGAGGGAGCATGGGCAGAGCATCTGGCTTGTGGGAAGGTCCAAGAAGCCCTGGGGAGATGGTGCCAGGGATGAAGCAGCTGCTCTCCTGACCTCCTCTTCCTCTGCCTTTGCTTTCCAGTGGTGCAGTCCAGAGCACTGGGTGAGTCCTTCTGGCCCCTGCCACCAGCAAAGCCTCCCTCTGGGAGGGATGTGGATTTGCATGTTTCTTGCTGTTTCTCTGGTCATTGATGTGTGTTGCTGGAGCCCAGAAGGGACCTAGAGAGCCCTGGGGTTGGGAACTGAGCCCAGGAGGTGTCCTGGGTCATGGGAAGAAGCAGGGACCAGTACTGACTGAGCTTAAATCAGGCTGAACCTTAAATCTCTGCTGAAGTCAGGCGTAACTGCAGAGTGCGTGGATGGTCTGGGGTGGGGATCGGAGGGCAGGATCCCCTGCTGTGAGCCAAGGGGCCTTTTCCCATTTCCCAAAGAGAAGGAATTTGGGCTCAGCCCGTACTCTGCCTGCTCACACCATGGGGTGAGAAGCTGTCCCCTCTCATCACTCATTGATTTTGTTGTTTGTTTTCCAGCAAAACGAGATGCAGAACTGGGTGAGTCTCCTTGAGCTCCTTCTGGCTCAGTGTCCTCTCTTGGGTGCTCTGGGCTCGGCCACTTCCCCCCTTGCCTGTCCTCTCCATCCCTGCATCCCCTGGGTCCATGGAAAACTCAGGGGCAGGTGCCTTGGGGGGTGGGTGGCTTGGTGACACCAGAGTAGAGATGGACACTCTGCCCTCTCCAGAGTCTCTGGGGAGAGTTTGTGGGAATTGATCAGGCTGGAGGAAGCCATCCTAGGGACCCAGGGAGTGTTTTCCCACTCCCCAAGAAAGGAGGAGTTTGGGGTTTCCCCATCTCTGCTTACTCCTTCTTGAGTACTTTTGTGATTAGAAGCTGTCCTCTCTGACCAAATATCGCTTTTGCTTTCCAGAGGAACAAGCTGCACTCTTGGGTGAGTCTCTGTGAGCTCCTCCGGGCTCCATGTTCTCCTCCTGGCCCTCTATGCTTACCCTTTCCCACCTTGCCCGTCCTCTCCACCCCTGCATTCCCTGGGTCTGGGTAAACAACGAGGGGATGTGCCTGGTGGGGTGAGCAGCTTGGGGACACCATACCAAGCTGGACCCTCTCCCCTGGCCAGAGTCCTTGGGGACCAGCCATGGGACATGACCAGGCTGAAGGGAGGCATTCACAAGCTTTGGGGGTCTGTTCCCATTCTCCAAAGAGAAGGAGTTTGGGCTCAGCCTGAGCTCTGCCTGTTCATGCCGTGGGGGGAGAAGCTGTCCTCTCTGATCAGTCATTGATTTTGTTTTTCACTTTTCAGGGAAACAAGATGGAGAACTGAGTGAGTCTCTGTGAGCTCCCCTGGCTCAGTGTTGTATCCCGGGTGCTCTGGGCTCGGCCCCTTTCCCTCCTGCCCCTCCCCTCCATCCCTGCAGCCCCTGGGTCTGCTGGGCAAACCCTGAGGGGAGGTGCCTGGGAGGATGGACAACTCAGGGACACCAGAGCAGAGATGGTCCCTCTTCCCTCACCAGAGTTTCTGGGGAGAGTTTGTGGGACTTGCCCAGGTTGGAGGGAGCCATTCAAAGGGTTTGGGGGGCTGTTCTCCCACTCTTAAAAGGAGGAGTTTTGCCTCTGCCCACTGTTGTAGTTGCAGGTGTGTGTTGAGAAGATCTCCTCTCTCATCACTCATTGCTTCAATTTTTCCTTTCCAGAGCAACGAAATGCAGAACTGGGTGAGTCTCCATGAGCTCTTCCTGACTTGATGTCCTCTCCTGTGGGATTTGTATTCGGCCCCTTACCCTCCTGCCCATCCTCTCCATCCCTGCATCCCCTGGGTATGGGCAAATTCCGAGGAGAGGTGCCTGGGGTGGGGTGGGTAACTCGGGGACACCAGACAAGGGATGGACCCTCTCCCCTGCCCAGAGTCCCTGAGCACCAGCCATGGGACATGACCACGCTGGAGGGAGCCATTCCTTGGGACCCAGGGAGTGTTTTCCCACTCCCTAAAAAGGAGGAATTTAGGGTTTCCCCAGCTCTGTTTATCTTTCCTGAGTAATTATGGGGTGAGAAGCTGTCTTTTCTGACCAAATATTGCTATTGCTTTCCAGAGAAACAAGCTGCACTGCTGAGTGAGTAACCATGATCTCCTCCTGGCTCGATGTTCTCTCCTGGGCCCTCTATGTTCGGCCCCTTTCCCCCTTGCCCTCCTCTCTATCCCTGCATCCCCTGGATCCAGGGAAACTGCAAGGGGATGTGCCCAGGGGGATGGGCAGCTTGGGATCTCCAGACCAGGGATGGGACCTTTGCCCTTCCCAGAGCCACTGGGGACGGGCCATGTCATGTGACCTGCTCTTATCTCTCCTTGTAGCTTGGAGAAAGTTTCTGCTTCCTGAGAATCCAGGTAATGTGTATTTTTTTTAATTTATTTTATGTTCATTTATGGGTGGTTCTTTTCCCTTTCCCTCTGTGTGAGGTGTAACTGGGCTGTCCAGCGAAGGGACTGGCCATGCCCGGATGTGTTGGTGACTCAGATCCCCCTGGACCATGGCACTGGGCTGGATCTCACCCCTGTTTTCTTGCCATTCCACCCCATTCTGAATTACACCGTGGTGCCCCAGAGGTGCCATCTCCTCCTGAGATCCCTTCCACTACCCAGAACAGCTCCTCTCCCCATCCTGCTACTCCCTTGGGGCTGCAGCTGCGCCGGTGCCTCTTCCCATGGGACAGAGCTTGGCCATGGCTGTGGTGGGGCCATCCCCATAGTGGAGATGGAGAAGAGGAAAGAAGATGCCCAGTCTCCTGCCTCGCTGGGTACATCCTGGCCCCGAGGTAGGGGGTGAAACCTGCCCAGCACTGAGCTCTGATGCTCCTGCTCCTCCTGTCCCCTGCAGATATGGTGACCCTGGATCCAAACACGGCTCATCCAGAGCTTGTCCTGTCGAAGGATTTGAGAAGTGTGAAGCATGGACCCGCACGCGAGAACCTGCCCGACACCCCCGAGAGATTTAGTTCTTGGCGCTGTGTGCTGGGCCAGGAGAGGTTCCTGGAGGGGAGGCACTGCTGGGAGGTGGAGGTGAAGGAGGAAGTGGGAGGTGATTCATGGTGGGGTGTTGGGGTGGCCAGTGAGTCTGTGCAGAGGAAGAGGGGATTGGATCTGAGGCCTAAAGAAGGGATCTGGGCAGTTGACAGGTATGCAGGGCAGTTCAGGGCTCTCACCTCTCCTCGCACCATCCTGTCCCTGTCCCCAGTCCCCAGGAGGATCTGTGTCTGTCTGGACTGCACACAGGGGCTGGTGACTTTCCTCAACGCTGACACTGCGGGCGAGATCTTCACTTTCACATCAGCCATGTTTAATGGGAAGGCCCTGTGCCCCTGGTTTTTGCTGGAGACAGAGGAAACCCAGCTGTGCCTTGGGGGCTAAACCTTGCTAAACCTTCAGCCCCACTTTCATCCTCAACACAAACTCCTGCGGAGCCTGTCCTTCTCCAGAAACTCCCCACTCTCCTCTCCTGGACCCTGTAGGAGATGTCCCTCCCTGCCCTGCCCCAGAGTGGGAGTGAGATCAGGGGCTGCTGTGGGATCTCCCCCGGTGCTGGGAGGCTCCGAGCAGGAGGGGGTGTCCTTGTTTCAGCTTTGATGGAGTTAATTTTATTTCTAGTATGGGCTGCATTTTGGATTTAGTGTGAGAATGACGTTGGTCACACATGATTATATACGCGGCTGAGAAATGTTCACATCAGTTAAAGGCTTTTCCAGCTTCCCCTCGCAGCCGAGAGGGAGCACGGCCAGGATGAGGCAACCAAAGGGATATTCCACCCCACAGACATCCTGCTGGGCATAGAAATAGGGGCTTCCTGGGGCTGGGACCCTCCATCACTGCTGGGGAGGAGCTGGGTAATCAGTCCTCAGGTACTGAGGGCAACTGGTGGTGTATCACTTTATTTTGTATATTTTTTTACAATTAATAATGTTATTTTCCTCTCCTGTAACTGTTGTCTTTAACTGTTTACTTCATTCCAACCCACAAAGTGACTTCCCATCCTTTTCTCCCTCTTCTCCCCTCCCTACTGAGGGAGAGGCGGGAAGTGAGGGAGCTGCTGGCTGGGGTTAAACCATGCTGGGGGGCAAGGGACCTCTTGGACCATCATAGCCCTGCCTTGGTCCCTCTTGGAACCCTTTGAGCCCTCTTGGATCACCAGGGAACCTCTTGGAAGCCCCTTGGAAACCCTTAGAACCCCTTGGGCCCCCTTAGAGCACCTTGGATCCCCTTGGAGCTGTGCTGGAACACCCTTGAACACATCTGACTGCCTTAGTCCCCTTGGAATTCCTTGGATCCCCTCAGATCCCCCTCCAATCCTCTCAGATCCCCTGGAGCCCCTTGCAACCCCTTGGATCCCCTGGGCTCTGCCCAGCGTCTACTCACCAGGAGCATCCCTCTGTGCGCCAAATGACCCTTTTCTAAAGAAAACTGCTTTTTCTCTACCCAATTCCCTTCCCATTGGGCACTGGGTGAAGCCGCCTGTGCCTTTTTCTTTATTTTGAGCATTTTTGGCTCTGTGTGTGACAGCATCTTTGTCCGGGAGCAGCTTTAGGTGCAGGAGAAGAGGAATTCTGAGAGTGGAAGGAATTCCCAGCCTGGGGCTATTTTACAGTGATATTTTGTGTTATTGACAGTCACTGCTGTGGGGACCGGGGATGGCCCTGGGCCGGGGACTGGGCATGGCTGAGCCCAGTGGGACATGGGAAGGGGCAGGGGGATGCTCAGGAAGGTGCTGGGACTGCGGGAACGGAGAACAAAGCCCAGATGGGACATCCCCGACTCCTGGGGCTGGTTCCCATGACTGGAGCAGGTTCTGGTGATCGGATCCACTTCTGGTGATGCTATTGTGCAGGTAATGGGGGGAGAATGCCTGGGGCTTGCTCTGGGACCCTCTCGCGCTGCACTGGCCCAGGAGGTTACAAACCCTTTTTACCTCTCATTCTCTTTAGTCCCCTGCCTCCGGGGCTGAGTAGTGGTCCCCAACACCCCTCGGGGCTCACCCTGGTCCCCCTCCCCACATCTGGGCATGACTCCAGGGACCCCTATGGGGACCTGGGTATCACACCCCCCTGGCACCGACCCCTATGGGAGCTATGGACACAGCCCCACCTTGAACCCTCCTGCACCCCTTATTTTGCACATAGGCTCCCTATGCAGAAGGTGGGACATTGGGGACAGCAGGGGACATGTCCGCCCCAGACACCTGAGGTCCTCATGGTGACAGGGCACAGCTGGGGTGTCCCGACACTCAAAGCCCCTGCCCCCAACCCCATCTTGTCCCTTCGTTCCTGGCTGCCCACAATCTCCTGGCTGTTGTGGGGCTGCAGGGACACTGCTGGGCTCCTCCCCCATGTCCAAAAAGCACAACCAACCTCTCATCACAATGTCCTCACCCCCAAATGCAGGTCTTTTTCCTTCCTCAGTTCTATTTTTTCCTACCAGAAACCCAGAAGAAGGGATTCAGGGTAAATTTCAAGTTGAGGCCAAAATGGCCCATGATGGTGACAGGTGCTCTCCCCCCACCTCTCACTCCCCGGAGAGGAGGAG